TGTGGTCATAGTTTTACCAAACCCACTGAAAACTACCCAGTGAAATCCTAACCTTCTTTCTATGCCTTATACTAGTGCTGTTACATATTTTTAAGTGTCTTTTTTCTCTCTTCTCCATTTTCTTTCAGCAAAAGTGCTTATGGGGAAGGAAATGGGCAGAAGGTGGACCACATGGGATAGAACTTGGTACTCACAGTAAATGATAATGCCAGTACAACATACAGGAATCTATGGGACACAATGAAAACAGTTCTACACGAGAAATTCATAGTGGTGAATGCCCATATTAGGAAAACAGACAGAACTCAGATAAATAACCTAATACAGAAGTTCAAACTCCTAGAAAAAGAATAGAATAACAAACCCAAAGCTCACACAAGAGAGGAAATTATAAAGATCAGAACAGAAATCAATGCAATGGAGACTAAGAGAATGATACAAAAAAATTAATGAATCAATGAGTTGGTTTTTTTGAAAGAATAAATAAAATCAGTAAACTTTTAGACAACCTTATCAAAAAAAGGAAAGAAAAGGCTCAAATCCATGCAATTAAGAATGAAAAAGGAGCAGTCACAACAGATCCAGCAGAAATCCAGAGGATCATCAATACCTACTTTAAGAAACTATACTCTAGTAAAATGGAAAACACAGAAGAAATGGACAGATTCCTAGATACATATGAATTGCCAAAGTTAAATGAAGAAGATATAGAAATTCTAAATTACAATTACAATGAGTGAAATTGAAAATGTAATAAAATATTTACAACAAAGAAAAGCCCAGGTCCTGATGGCTTCACTGCTGAATTCTACGAGATATTTAAAGAAGAACTATCGCCATTACTCTTTAAACTCATCAAGGAAATTGAAAGGGAAGCAAGGCTTCCAAATTCATTCCCGGAAGCAAGTGTTACTTTGATTCCATAACCAGGGAAAGACCCAACCCAAAAAGAGAACTACAGGCCAATCTCCCTAATGAACATAGATGTAAAAATCCTCCACAAGATACTGGCAAACAGAATACAGAGTGTCATCAAGAAGACCATACACCCTGACCAAGTCAGATTTGTCCCAGGGATGCAAGGATGGTTCAACATTCGTAAATCAATAAATGTAATACACCATATTAACAGAGCCAAGGACAAAAACCATATGAGCATCTCAAAAGATGCAGAAAAAGCATTTGACAAGACCCAGCACTCGCTCATGATAAAAAACCCTACAGAAAATTGGAGTAGAAGGTCTTTATCTCAACCTGATTAAGGCTATCTATGAAAAACCAATAGCCAACTAAATGGTCAAAAACTGAAAACTTTCACACTAAAATCAGGAACAAGACAAGGATGCCCACTATCACCACTCATGTTCAATATAGTTCTGGAAACATCAGCCACAGCAATTAGAAAAGAGAAAGACATAAAAGGAATAAAGATAGGAAAGGAAGAAGTTAAGCTCTCATTATTTGCTGATGATATGATACTTTACATAGAAGACCCAAAAACCTCCACCAAAAGACTTCTAGACTTAATTGACAGATTCAGTAGAGTAGCTGGATATAAGGTCAGCACTCAAAAAACAATAGCCTTCTTATAAACAAATAGACTCAGTGAGAGAGAAATTAGGGAAATAATTCCTTCTATAATAGCATCCAAAAAAAATGAAATATCTAGGAATCAATGTAACAAAGGAAGCAAAAGACCTCTACACTGAAAACTACAGCACCCTGAAAAAGGAGATTGAGGAGAATATAAGAAAATGGAAAGACATCCCTTGTTCTTGGGTAGGAAGAACCAATATAGTGAAAATGGCCATACTTCCAAAACTAGTACATAGATTTAATGCAATGCCAATTGAAATTCCAACAATATACTTCACACAACTAGAGAAAACAATCCAAAAATTCATTTGGAACCATAAGAGACCTAGAATAGCTAAAGCAATTCTGGGCAACAGAGACACAGCTCAGGGAATCACAATACCCAACTTGAAGCTATACTACAAAGCTACTGTGATAAAATCAGCATGGTACTGGCAAAG